GCACGACGCGTAAAACCGCCAGTAAGCGTGAGAATGCTCGGCAGTGCAGCAACGCGGCCGGCAAGGCACGAGCTGCGTGGAGCGTTTCACCAGCTCACGTGTATCGGAAACTCAGCACTGTGGCAGTGAGCGAAAATGGGCGGTATGTGGCTTGACTAAGTCGACACGTTCTAAAGCTCCACTGGCACACCACCGTCATTGATTCATCATCACTGACTGACGGCGTTCTGCAGATGTGGCCGTGCTTCTTTATTCCGTGGACATGCCAGAGGCTGGCAATTGCATCAGCCAGCCTTCCTGCAGAGCCGACTTGCTGGTGCGGCGTTGACGAAATTCTTGAAGCATAAAAGTCCAAATGGAGCCGACCGCCGACCCAGTGGATCAATCTGGGTCACAAGGAACATTGCAATCACATCAGCTGACCCTTCCCCAAGCCCAGCATAGGCTGAGTTAGATGGCTGGCGGGATCATGCGGCGTGTCTCTTGACCGGCGGCAGCTCACCACGGGCACCGCACGGCCCGTCCCCGTCCACCCAACACAGCCACGTCCAGCCACGAGAATGGAGCCTCCGAAGCCAGCCCTGCCTTCCCAGTTCGCCGTCCCGACGTCCAACGGCTGTCGCCACTCTTCGTCCCGATCGGGTCGGGTCAAATCGCCGGTCGGCGGCAGTAGGTCGTGACCCCTCGCTGCGCGCTCGCCTGCGGGCGGTCCGCGAGAGCTCGCGGCCAGCCTCGACACGGCTGACCCCCTGTGGCAGCCTTGGGCCCGCAACGCCGCCGCGCGCTGCAGAGCGGCCCGGCTGCGGCCCAGCCCCCGCCCATTCCCTCCCGCGGGCTGGCCGAACGTTGGCGGAAACATGGCACCGCGCGGCGGTCGGGCGCAACGGCTGGTGGCGTAACACCGCCGCAGTCCGGTCGGCCATGGGTGGAGGGGGAGAGGGGGGGGGGGGAACACTGCTCTGGCCGGCACGCGGCGTGACTACCGCTCGGGCCACGGCTGCTGGCTGAAAAAGTACGCTTGCGGAGAACGGCGTGGGCGTTGTGTGACAGGTCCGTGGGAAATGAGACCGCGTATGGCCGGTCGACCGCAGCGAAAGACGGTAGCTGACGGTAAGGGTTCACGCCACCGAATCGGTGCCTTAGTCTGAAAATTGAAAATGAGTCGTGCTTTCCGTTTCCACGCGTCCGTGAAATGATCGCAACGACGTCATCAAAAACCTAGAGTTTGGATGGATGGAATGTGTCGCTCGTCATTTTACCGTTCCGCCCACCCGCGGCCCAACACAGTCCGCTGGAGACTAAGGTCATTGGGCCAGACAGCGGGTCGGCTAGCTAAGCACCGTGACCGCCTGAGGCGACGGTGTCTCTGCACCAACGTAGCGGCGGCCACCTGCTCAGGTACACGTGGTAACCGGCTTTGCACAGGTTTCGCGAAGGCCCTGCACAGACGTGGTTGACAGCACGGCACGACGTTCAAACACACGTGACGACTGGCGCTGGGCAGACCTGGTGATCGGCTCTGTACAGACGGATGATCGGGCATGCACAGACGGGTGGCCGGCTATGGCAAGACGGAGTGACCGGTTATGGGAAGACGGGGTGACCCGTTATGGCAAGACGGGGTGACCGGTTATGTGCAGAGGGAGTGACCCGTTATGGCAAGACGGGGTGGCCGGTTATGTGCAGAGGGAGTGGCCCGTTATGGCAAGACGGGGTGACCGGTTATGTGCAGACGGAGTGGCCCGTTGTGGCAAGACGGAGTGACCGGCTATGTGCAGATGGAGTGGCCCGTTATGTGCAGACGGAGTGGCCCGTTGTGGCAAGACGGAGTGACCGGTTATGTGCAGATGATGGAGTGGTCCGTTATGTACAGACGGAACGACCCGTTATGTACAGACCAGGTGACCGGCTATTTCAGACGTGGTGACCCGCTGTGACCAGTTTGCACGGGCGTGCCGTGCACACAAGACGTAGGACTGTGCCGTGCAAACGTAACACGCGGACGTGGCGCGTGGACGTGGCGTACGGACGTGACGCGCGGACGTGGCGTACGGACGTGACGCGCGGACGTGGGTCGGCGGCCGTGCGGCCCGCCCCGGCCCAGTGGCGGCGCGGTCGGCCGGTCGGCTCGGCTCGTGCGGATCGAGAGTGGTGCGCGTGTCGTCGGGTCGCTGACCCCTCAGCCGGCCGGATGGGCAGCCACAGTTGGCTGGCGCCGACCGACCGATAAGCACGCCGTCGATGGAAGCCCTGGCGTGGCTTATTTCACCAACGGTTCGGGTACGGGTGCTTCGTCTTCCTGACTCACCCATGGACAGGTGGCGGTGGCTGCCGGGATTGAGCATGTGGGAATCACGGGTAGATCCCTTCCCAATCTTCCCGGGGCTATTGATTCGATCCAACTGTCATCAAGACATTGTGTAACGGACATTGCGAACAAACTATCGAGGTATTAAAACGAGATTTAAGCAGAGCAAAACCAAGCTGCCTGTCGTACTTTCAGAGTGTAAGCCATGGCTTAACCTCGTCGCGATACTCCACAACTGATTTCACGTCCATTATTACAGTGAGAATGATGGACACTGCGTCTGAGAGCCTGCTCCAACAACATATCGCTAGGACATCGAGCTTTGTCATGCTGACGTCGAGTGGATGCTCCAACAATAGCTGACAATAATATGAACAGTACGCAAAGACAATGGTTCACCTGTGCGTACACCTGAAACTTATCTGGGCAAAAATGTTCTTGCATAGTAGGAATATATTCAATATTTAAGCTGCGGAGTGGAGCGGATTTTTTTGGAATGTTAAGAAACGATAGCTATAATTTGTAGTGGGGGGGGGGGGGGAATTGGGCATTACGAGGTCGGTTACTTCACCCAAGGGACCAGTGTAACCATAACGCACCCTTCTTGAGGATGACTACGACTATTGAGAGCGTTTTTAATTTATCCGGCCCAACAATCGAGTCTCAACATAACTGGTGGGGGGATGGGTACAAGTGGCCACATAGGCGGTTGTTTTTGGCTAAAAAAACATGTGGCGCAGTGACACGCACGCAGAAGTCGGACACGTGACCTAGTCCAATCTGCGGCGACTTCTGCGGGCGCGCCTGCGGCCACGGTCCGACATCTCCGACACCCGACCCCGGAAACCTCCACCAAACCAGAGCATCGCCACGCTTGCGGTCCCGCAGCGTGACACCAGCACCAGCAGGAGGAAGCCCTGTTCTGACCGCGGCGAGCAGCGGCGGGCAGTCCACAGACGGCTGTGGGGCAGCGGCCGGGCAGCCGGCTTCACACCGGCCGGCTGGTGCGCCAGTGTGGGCGGCGTGGATCGCGCGCGGGGCCGCTGGCCGGCACCGTGGGAGGCCGGCCAGACGGAGCCGGCCGGCCGCCGCTCGCGCCGCCGTGCTGACCCGCGCCGCCCGCGCTGCTCGAGGAAAGCGGGCCGTCGTGACAAACTGGCGGCGCGCTGAATGGAAGGAGTAGGCACGGAGCCGGCCGACACGGCGAAAATTGGCGGGACGGGGGCGTGGGGGGGGGGGGGGGCGGCAAACGACAGTCTAGGAGACTCGGGCTCCCGAGACGACGGCGTCTGATGCGACCCAGCTCCGCTCACGTCTGCCTCGGCTGCAGCGCCAGGACTGATACTGACAGGATTGACACTGACGGGACTGACACCGGTCGGGACTGACACTGACGAAACTGACACCGGTCGGAACTGACACTGACGGGACTGATACTGACGGGACTGACACCGATGGAACTGACACCGGTCGGGGCTGACACTGACGGGACTGACACTGACGGGACTGACACCAAGCGGGACTGACACTGACGGAACTGACGCCAGTCGTTCCCGGCTCGATGGGATGGACCTCACGGGAGACTCGCCATCAGTGAGCTATTTTTGAGCGGCGTGACCGGCCGTTAGCCGCGGGCCGTGTCCGGCGGCGGCGGTGCGGGGCGGTACCGCCCGCGCCCGCCGGCTGGCTACGCCGACCAGCCCTCAGCTGGACAGGCGGAACGGATCTGGTCCGCTCGCCCAGGACAGTGGCGCCGGGCCCTGCCGATGGCGCAGCGAAGCTTTTGCTGATCTGACGGGCTATGAATCAGACAGGAACCTGTGGTGTTCGTCCGGTGCCGCGGCTGGCATCGGTGCTCCCGCCCGCCAGATGCGCACTGCGCCTCACGGACGACCGCCACGAGCGCGGGATTAAAACAAGGTCTGTGGCTTCGAGCTGCATTGGAAAACCCGATGACATGATCGTTGAATGTGGGCAGCAGAACTTGCATGCATTATTTGGTGCAAGACGTAGTGCCAAACCACTCAAGATGGCAAGAATCTTGCTTTCTGTGCGAAACAAAAATGGCCATCTGTTAGATGTAGTATGTCGGCCCAGCTATTTCTTCCATCGTTATTAGTAAAAGCGCCGCATATATGCCGACCAGAAACTCCCCACGTAATCACGAAACAGAAGACCCCACGTCGGTGGATATTTCTGCGACGCAAGATTGATAATTTGTCGAGTGATTCAATCATTTTTGAGATAACTCAGCAGAAGTATTCCACGAGTAATTGCACCTGTCTTGTCGCTATACCCCTGAGTATAGCCGTGCCGACGCACCAGCGATCGTATTCACGAATCGACGCACCAAATGCGACTACAATTGGGGCAATCGACGCACCAAATGCGACTACACCTGGGGCATTCGGGCAATCATCACGTTTCGTGTGACGAAACTGGCATTTGGTGGACGAGGAGGCTATTTCTAAGCTTGGGTCACGAGGCAGATGCCACCAGGGACGGTCGCTTTCACGCACGAGCTCGATTTGAACGGCCTATCGCACGCGACGCGACTTCCGCCGCGTGCCTGGTGCCGAACAAGCATGGCTCGAGTACCCCGAAAGGTACCTAAAACGCCAGTGAGCCGACCGATTCGCCCAACGGGGCAGTGACGTCATGACCTCAGCATTCCATGCGCATCAGCACTCACCGATGGGGCAGTTGCAGGTCTGTACGCCGTTGGTCAAGCCGCAGCGTCCGTTGTTGTGGCAGGGATTGGCGATGCACGCCTGCACGGTGACCTCGCACCGCTCGCCGGCGAAGCCCTCGGGGCAGAGGCAGACGGTGCGGTTGCCGGCCCAGTCCTCCTGGCAGAGGCCGTCGTTCTCGCACTGGTACTGGGGCCGAGTGCACAGTGGACCTGGCGGTGCAGCAGACAGTCAAAACACGCTGCAGACGCCGACGCAGAGTCCTCCTGGCAGAGGCCGTCGTTCTCGCACCGGTACTGGGGCCGAGTGCACAGTGGACCTGGCGGCGCACCAGACGGCCAACACGCGCTACAGACGCCGACGCAGACGCTTTGGCATACGGGCTACAGGAAACAAGCTGAAATTGCCGCTAGGAATAGGCTTCCAAGGTGTTTCGTGTGATCGAGACGGGACGACCGGCTGTAGTCTGAGACGAGAGACCGGCTGTAAAGAGGCGTCCGGCTGTGATCTGACATGATGTGCGGGGCCAGATCCAGGGAGTCGACGTCTATCTAGCCCATTGGATGCCGTGCCTCCAATCTCTACGATCGTTTTGTCATTTGCCACCTTTGAGTGCAATAATTCGCATTCAGTTCCAGAGTCAGAACGTGCTGTTGAGATTGCCGATTAAGGAGAATCATCGCTACTGTGCTCAGTGCCATGCGCAAATTACCTCGCCGTTATGTGGAGATCGACGGCGGCGACGACAGCAGATGCTCAAACTTGTCTAAGACAAAACCTAACGCCAGGGGCGAGCACCTCAAAACTGCTGACCAATTCTAGAACACTTCGCTCTGTTGGATGTCAGACCAGCCCATAGTGATCGCGCTTTGTGCGTCGGCCAATTCGTGCATTAAAAGGACTCCGCACAAGACATCAGACTATTGCGCCACTTCTGACGTATTGCGCTCATCATAATGGTCAGGAAAAACGGAGAAGGAAAGTGCCTAAATACAGCAAGGATGTTGCTGCCTGTGATAGCTCCGCGGTGGATGCTTAGGACAATGGTTGCAGAGGCTCATAATACAAAGGGCGAATACAAAAATTACGCAACATCGCGGAAAACAGAGATATTGGCCCATTCTACTGATTAAGCATAGCCTGACGTACAAGGTGAGACTCATTCAACAGCCCAAGCTGCCAGACGGCAGTCTGTCACACGACACCACGCACCTGGAGGATGGGAGGCCTCGCCAGCTTCAGCGCGGGCCAGGGTCACTTCAGGGTCATCGCTTGCCACGGGCTCGATAGCTACTCGGGGCTTCAGAAATCGATGGTCTCCTCCCGCCTCCTCCCCCCCCCCCTTCCGCAACGAGACCACGTCGTCACCACACAACCAACGGCGGCGGCAACCAGCAACCAAACCAGCGCGCCGCGCAGACTTACGCCACGCGCGAGTGAGACCCGCCAGGGTCTGCTGACCACACAGGCGCTCTTCTGCCGTCGAGTGCGGCGAACGGCCGCCAGTGTCGGCTTCTTCTTCCCAACATCGAATGGTCGGGACGGTCGACAGCCACATTCCGGTTGAGTAAGTCTCGACGCGTTACAAACAAAGGGACAGCCAGCAGCTGAAGCCGCAGACCACTCCGGAGCGCCGGTGGCGGGACAGGCGCCTAACGCTACACTCACCGTCGTCAATCTGGCAGTCCTGTCCCGAGTACCGCCCGCTGCAGGCGCACGTGTAGCCCGTGCCATCCGCGTCGGGCGTGCACGTGGTGCCGTGATGGCACGGCTGCGAGAAGCACGGTGACGGCTCGACCGAGTCGTACCCGTCTGAGGAAGCGGCAGAAACACGCGTCGGTCAGAACGGAGTAGCAGCTCGAGCTAGATGTACCTGCCTAAAGGTCTGAAGGTCACATTGCTTACGTGAACCAATTAACGATCGCGCAAGCGTGCCCACATCGTGTGGACCGAAAACGTCTCGCCTGTTTTCTGTTTGACTATGCGCACGGGAGACATTGAAGGACAATTGCGGCATCTTACATTTTTATTCATTCCGACCACCCGGATAATGCTGGTTCTCGCACGAATCTGCCACCGGCGTAACGACCCCCTCTGCTGACATTGACATTGTTGGCTCTGCTGACCGGACAGATGATTTTTTCGCGCCCGGCGACGCCTCGCCGCGGCCGCCTTATGCGAGACTGACCAATGCCAAACTGCGGTCACCATACGCCAGACTGACTTTCTGGCACGCTGCCAGCTCCGCGACGTATATGGTTGGCTAAGCCGGTTGTTTGTCTGAACTTAAATCTGCGAGGCATGTGAACCACCAAACTCCCACGGCATCCGCTCGACGACAGGGCGGCTTCCAGCACTCCGCTAGTTCGGCGAGCTCACGCCGAACCAGTTCCGATTATCGTAAATGTTAACGCTGACTTAAACGCGACCTAAACAAACTCAGGAATAAATTAATAACCAAAAGTATCTACATTTCACTAGTTTAACCGACAAGGTAAAATAAAAAAGAGTGGACAGTCTAGCTATGAATGAAGAGATATTGTTGACGAAGGGTGCGACTTGTTTTGACAAAGGGTGCGACTGAAAACGTACTACTTAACAAGCGCATACGTCTGTATATATATATATATATATATATATATATATATATATATATATATATATATATATATATATGTTCACGTGCGTGCGTGCGTGCGTGCGCGCGCGCGTGTGTGTGTAGTGGTCTGTCGACGAAAACCTAAGTTTTTCGCTACCAATAGATAGTTTGCGTTCTTCGCCAAAGCCAAGTGGATGTCGATAGTGGGGACCGATGGACAGTCTCAAAAGCAAGTGAGCACAGCAAAAGCTAAACTGGCTCCCACATACGGCATCTCAGTGTAGAGTTGTCTGGAGCCAGTGACTGACAACGCGCCCCACATTGATCTGATGTTGGGGCCGCTCTCCGGGCGATCGGTGTGCATTGTCCACTGAAGGTAATGACCGTCTCTGGGGTCTCATCAAGGCTTATTGGTCGGACTCGGAATTGGCTTGATCTCAGACGACTATTGACTGATCGAGCAGCAAGAGAGGGAAAGGCCAGACAAGCTGTAGGAACAGTCAACGGCGTGATGTGATAAGAATACTTGGTACCCATGCTTTATGTTCAGCCTCCACCCAGTCTCAGCCTGGTTCGTGACATATTTTGAGATATGAATTTAAAGTTCTTGTGCCGATAGTTTGACCCTCATCCAGTCTCAGCCTGATTCGCGACATATCTTGGGACATGGATTCAAAGTTCTTGTGGCGACAGTTTCCAACATTTAACACATCAGGTGACGTTATGAAGGAACATACTGGCTACGTCACCAATGCTCAACGCTTCAACCGGGGCACATGACCACAATGACCATGTGAATCAGTCACTGGTGATCATGGGCGCACACTGAAACGGCAAATATTAACCATATGACAAATGTTTGTTTGATAACGCCGTACAACAAACGCCGCCTGGTGTCTGCGAGATAACCCAGCGTCACGGGCGGAAGTGTGAACTCATAGTGCTGAAAGCCAGGAGCCCAAGGCCTGCCTTACATCTCGTAAACAAGACAGTTAAATCCGAGTCGCAACAGATCGCACGTCTGGACCGGACCCCCAACTCTGCACGAGCGGGGCCCATGCCTAGCCCCTGCCATGCTTATATCGCTCCGGTATCACTCGTCTCACGTGACGAGGAGCACAATGAGGAGGCCAATGCCCCTGGAGGTTACATTGTCTACCTGATATGTGCGATGATGCAGCGATTAGCGCCACGGATTCATATATGTCTCCGCGGAGAAAGGGGGCCAGGCTTTTTGTCATGCGCCAGTGGTCTAACATCACATTAGTTTGATGCATGGGCTCCGGATGGTCCAGGTGCTCTACTTGTGATCAATGTCGCCATAAGTTCAACGTTCTTTACAAGGTCCAGCTAGTGCAAAGCATGTCCGCAAAAAGCCAGTGTCACGGCCGGACGGCTGCACACCATACTAGTTGTACCCAACACTGCCGCTGCCGGATGGCTGCACACCATACTAGTTGTACCCAACACTGCCGCTGCCGCGACGCGCCTCGAGTTCATGCCGCTATGGTAGGATTATTGGTGCTAGCATTCACTGAAGAGTACATCCGCGGGATCCCACTAGCCTCATCTTCACGATGTTTGCACTTGGGACTCATCCCGGGATGTCAATTTCCTGTAAATGGTTGCGGGGGGGGGGGCGGGCAAGCCGAGGGCCGATGATCTAATCCCTCTCCTCCATTTTATCAACCGATTTAGCCCACTTCATTTTTACTGACGACAATTTATACTTAAAGGTTTTTGTATTATGTAAAACACGTCTTTCATTCAAGCAACCTAATAGTCATGCAGGGACGGATCCAGAAAACGGGGGGGGGGAGCATTGGAGGTATGTGCCCCTTCTAATCGGAAATAAAGGCGCCTGTATAGAGGCCGCCTTAGGCACCGAATGCACTGTTCTATGGCAGCTATGGGTGGCAGCACGCATTTTTGGTTGTGAGGGAAGGGGATGGGGGTTGTCATGAAAGACTTGGGTCACTCCCGTTTTCTGGAGTTTTTTTCAGTTCCACCTTTCAGTTCCAACGCAAACTTTATTACTTGGATATAGGGCCAGCGCCCCCCCCCCCCCCCCCGTGTAAAGCAGTGGTGCTTTCATTTAGTTCGCTTCTAGTGTGATACGCGAGCGGCGCGTACAAATCTTGGGCTGAATTTAGCATTGTACCACATCATCACTTCAACTCTCGTGACACCAACAATAGCCATGAGGAGCATAATCATAATCAGCAATACTCAACAATATTTATGTTCAACATCGCGAAATGAACAATTCATGTTGACCAATACTTGCATCAGACAGAAGCCCAAAGCCAACCGCCTCAACTATATACATAGAGATACAGTAGATAAGCAATGGTAAGGTCGTTTTAACTGTGATGTAGAAAAAGATTGTGCTATTATTGATGGGACCGCCACACACGTGCCTATTATTAATTTTTGTTGCGCGCCTGGGGGGCGAGTAAATTTCCGTTGAATGGATGCATGTCATATTATGTAAGCCATCTACATATCACGCGGGCTACCTTTTCATCCCATGACAAAGCAATAGATGACAAGCCTACCAAAAGTTTGATTTAAATGTGTCAGATTGCGCATTAGGAAATGACATCCCTCTCTGCGGCACACGGCGATGCATTTCTACTTCGCAGTTTGATTTAAAAGTTTGATTTAATCCCGGGCCGCTGAACTCCCTACAATTGTAAAAGAACGCAGCACAAAAATCATAAGACACGTTGGTCATAGGATTCCAGATGAAGCTCAAGCTTTCCCCTGATACGTCCCGGAAACACGTGAGGGATGATAAAAACAACACCGCTGTTCCAATGAGGGTGCCAGGCATTATTCCAGGTTGAGCCATGAATGACTGCTTTCAAGTTCACAGGTGATATCTTTTGACATAAGTAGTAAGTGAAGTGGCAGTTTAGAAACACCGCCTTTCTTCGTACCCGTTGGTGACCAGGCGTCAAATGCTCGCAAGAGAACGTTTATCGCCGTGCGTACACAACAACCGTCGGGACAGTAGCCAGGCATTGGTGAAGCGCCGACATTACACGTGTCACATTCGTGATGCGGCGAAACGCGTGGTGGCGCGTCCGCCCTCCACAAGAAGTGTTCGTATATGGCTCGTCAAAGAGACCATTTGGCCGTTGGCTTGATAGTGTCAGCTTGGTCACAGGGTAGCCGACAGCCGTATAAACGCGCGACATGGTAAAGGTCTTTTCGTGGTATATGGATAAGTGCTCGAGGCAAAATGGATCCATTGCGCTTGCATCACAATAAAAGGATGGTGGGTTTGGAGTGTTCGCGATAGGTTATGTTCAGAGCGGAATCAGATAAAAAGTGTGTCCTCGCAAACTGTTTGATTCTACATGGTTTCCCATTTTGTAACTGAACTGGACCTATGATCTGAACTAACGATGCCACGCAAAAAATATGCGTCACCGACTTTGTTTTCTAGTGCAGCATTATAGCAAAGCAATGAGGGTCTCGACTTTGGGCAAAGCTAGGTAAGGAACGTCGCCTATCATGGGCAGAAGACCAATTATCACTTGCCATAACAGAGTCTCCACAAGACCGATGAATCAGTGGTGACAATATCGTGTTTCGATTGCGCGGAAAAGGCGTCCGGGCTTACGCTTGGCGGACAAAAAAAGCAACGTTAGATACAAAGTGGTTTGCGCTCAATGTCTTACGTTACCCTTCATTTGAGGTAGTGATTTTGAGTTTGCTTGCGGGGTCAGTTCACCCAGCTGTACTCACCATGTGGACGCCACTTGGAAAATATGCTTTGCGCGTGATGGCAAACTTTTTTCCTATACTTTTGCAGCATTCCTGCAAAAAAGTATTGGGGGTCCCGAGCCAAGTGGGACAATTTGACATTGGGTGAGGCCACTCTCAAAAGAATGTAAATCGGCACCCATGGACTCCTTTCCTTTTCCACTAGGGATTCATCATTTACGTTGGGGACTTATCATCAGAAGCACATCAAGGGACTTCCTACTCACCGCACGTCTCCGTGTCGGGCACATGAATGGACTCCCTACTCACCGCACGTCTCTGTGTCGGGCACATGAATGGACTCCCTACTCATCGCACGTCTCCGTGTCGGGCACATGAGTGAACTCCCTACTCACCGCACGTCTCCGTGTCGGGCACATGAGTGAACTCCCTACTCACCGCTACGTCTCCGTGTCGGGCACATGAATGGACTCCCCACTCACCGCACGTCTCCGTGTCGGGCACATGAATGGACTCCCTACTCATCGCACGTCTCCGTGTCGGGCACATGAGTGAACTCCCTACTCACCGCACGTCTCCGTGTCGGGCACATGAATGGACTCCATACTCACCGCACGTCTCTGTGTCGGGCACATAAGTGGACTCCCTACTCACCGCACGTCTCCGTGTCGGGCAGCGTGCAGCGGCCGTGCACCACGTTCACCGCCTGCGCTGCCGGGTCGTCCAGCGGCACGCTGGGGCCGCGCAGCAGGCAGCCGTGGAAGTTGCGCCCCACCAGCTGGTCAGAGCCGGCCAAGCGCCGCCGTCAGCACCTGCTGGCGCAGCGGCGACCGCTCGGACGCCACCAGCGCCGCCTCCACGCCGTCCACCTGGAGCGTCAGCCGGCCCAGCCGGTACTGCAGCGCCACACGGTGCCAGCGGTTGTCGTTGAGGCCGGCGCCGGCGGCGCTCTCCCAGTCGGTGGTGCCGCCGGCGCGCACGATCAGGCGCAGCGTGCCGTTGGCCAGCAGGTCCAGCTCCAGGCTGTCCATCTGGCCGTGCTCCTCCAGCAGCGTGCCGTCTTTGCACGTGCGGAAGCTGAGGCCGATCAGGCCGCGCAGGTCCACTGCCTGTCCGGTCAGCCGCATAAACGAGGTGCCCGCGAACGACACCAGGCCCGGCTGGGCAGCGCCGAGCGCCGCGCACGCCAGCACCGCTGCCACGCCACCTGCGGAGGCACGCAGACGGGTCAGGTCGCGGCACGGGAGCGGTGCAGAGCTGGGGCCAGTCAGCGGCAGCAACAGTCGCGGGGAGCCAGTGCGATCGGGCGGCCCTGCTGAAGAAACGTCCGCAGCGCTGGTGCCTGTGAAACGATTGGCCGGCCTCAAGGTCCTAGGTTCGTTAGGCGTGGTCAACATTAGACGCGAGTTCAAAAGCATGTGCATGGACGGGAGCGATGTGAAGCGCTGCTGGTCATCGGAGGCAGCCAGTTTACCTCAGATTGCTGCTCCTGCAAGAGAAGTCCGTGAAACGATCATCTCGATGTTGCACCGAAACGGAAGGAGCCTGCCGCGGGCGTGAGGAAAACACTTCTTAGCCCTAACAGGCTGTTCACGAAGTTTGCACCCATGCCACCCGGCAACATCAATTATTCATGAATAATCCAACACCTGAGGTCTAGTGGAAAGACTAGGCACGAGTCTCGTGATATGCGCATTGTTTGGCCCGACGGATATGGAAATACCAGCTGGCGACTGGTCCACGAGGCCAGAGGTTTGAAGTAGAGTGGGGCGGCCAAGTTGTAACGTTACATGGACGCCAAGAAAAAATGCATATGCGGTAGTCTGGGTTAAAAAGACTGGAGGCAAAATCTACGCTGAACTGGAACGGCATGGCGGCGTTATGGGTTCAGGGTGCACGCAACAAGCTCTGCTAAACAAGTACGGTGGCCTGAAACCATCTTTGGCAAACCAATCGGAAACACCTGCTGTTTTAATTTAGAACTTTTTCCGAGAAATGGATGAAGCGCGTATTGATTTGTCTTACACCTTTGTCCGTCACCTTGTTCGGCAATGGGAATATTTTGTGTGAGTTGGATAGCTCACCAGATCGATCCTTCGATAAAATGATCGCGAGGACGGATTCCTTAACTTGCAGGATAAATGCTGGCAAAATTAAACTTCGCTATTCAAAAGCAACGCAGGCCACGCAACAAAATTGGACTCGTCCTTCCCACTTCTACTCAACTGGCTACATGAAGTACAGGGCGCCGAGAGGCGCTCTGGGCGTAATTGGGCACCTCGCGCCCGGGATGAGCGCTGCATGCACGGGCCGACCGCCTCCGGGACCAAGACATGGCGTCCAGGCCTCAGCTGCGCTTCGCGGAACACCTAGGGCCGCTGTCGGCCGAACGGCGACGCCGGCGGCGGTGGCGGCGGCGCTCCCCTGCATAGGACGGAGGCGGCGCGTCCGGACGGCAGCCAGCGCCGCCGGCCCGCTGCAGAGGAACAAAGGCGGGCCGAGGCGCGCCAGCCGGAGCGGCGCCAAGGTCAGGGGTCACCGGCGCCGCACGCAGCCGGCCGGTCACGGCTGCTGGGCACCGGGCGACGGCGGGAGGCCCGACCGGCGCCAGAACGTGAGAGGCGGCCGGACGCCGGCGGCAGCGGACCGTGGCGGAGCGAGCTGCGCCGGCGTGGGGAGCGGAGCGGCTGGGACCGCGGGCGCCGCGGGCGCCGGTCCGGGGTCCGGCTCAGACAGACCAACAACGGATCCAGCATGGGTCGAGTATGAACGGGTCCACCCGAGTCAGAGGGGGAACCGTCCCTGCTGGAACCGGGGGAGAGAGCGGATCCGGCTAAGGCCAAGAACGAACGGACCCAGCTGGGGCCAAGTAAGAATGGATACACCGAGCCAGCGGGAGAACCGATTCCGTTGAGACCGGGGTTGACTGTGAACCGAGCAAAGGCCAAGAGAAAGCGGCTCCAGCCGAGACCGAAGGAAAGCGGACCCTGCTGAGACCTTCATTCAGCGACAGCGGATCCAGCTTGGAGCGGCACGAAACGGGTACAGGCAGAACCAGCCGAGACCGACGCCCAGAGGCAGCGGGCGCCAGTCGCGCCAGCGTCCAGAGCCAAAAAGCCATATGTTGCGTCTCGGGACAATGGAGCATATGGCTTGTTACCTACGGACGGCGGTGCGGGACGAGATACATTGCCGCCCGCTCTCGCCGTGACCGAGATAGTCGAGCCGCTGCGGAACGCTGCCGACTCCGCAGGCGTCCACCGCCCGAACCCCGTCCCCGCCGACGCCGGACTGGCTCTCGTGCCACTGTAGGGCCCGAGCGTTTGTTCCGTGTGGCAGCTCGAAGCGGACGCGCAATCGGCGGTGGCCGGGCAGGATGCCCGCAAGCAGACGCCCAGGATTACGTGTGGCCGTACGTGGTCTTGTTATGTGAATCGTTTTGGAGTATTGTAAGGGATCGGGCCAAAGAAAAATTATTTTAGTTAAACACGTACCACACTCCAGTGCTATCCCCTGATTCATGCGGCGTCTAGCTTTCCTCCGGCCGTTTGCCCTGATTCATGTGGCGTCTAGCTTTCCTCCGGCCGTTGGATCTTAACGCGACAATATTTCGGCAATGTTTTTGCCCCGACATGGAACATGTACGGCGCGAGTTCCGCTCAGTGATGCTGGCAATTGCAGCAGTCCACATCTTGCTGTTAAACGAAAAGCATAAATGCGACAATATTCCGTAGGACCACACCATTTTCGTACAGAACAGATCTGTTTTTTAATCACAATTCTTATTTTTCGTTGTCAATTTTGTTCTTCCTTTTCCATTTTGCACCCGCTCTAAAACATTGAGGATCTGTTACCGGGTCCTATGCTTTCGGGAGAGTTGGGCTATCAAAAACCTGCATTTGCGAGCATTGTACGAAAAGGCAGAAATGTGAGGCACCACGTGATCTAAATACCTCTGCCGCTCTAGGCCGCTTTTTTCACTGTTAGTTGTGACAATGCCACGACATCTGGTTGCACTAAGGGTCTTATGACAGGCAAAAACGCTACAATAGCTTCGGAATTTGGCACCGCGTCACAGCACGAGATCGTAGCGCCACACACCGAAAAGACGTGCGCTTGTGGTGACGTTTCCGATGGTCCCCATTTGCCTAAATTAACGAGCGTTTCGCAGTGACAGTCTTTCTCATTACTTCAGGAAAAATACAAATGTAACACATCTTAGAAACCCGAATCCATCTAACGACACACGTAGAAGACCATTGAGTGATTTGAGAAGCGCTTTGCAGTCACAACTTTTATTCCAGGGCTAGTTAAGTTGAAACACCTCTTATTTGAAGATCCAATCCATGTAACGACAGACGTAGATGCCCGATGAGGGCCAGCCGCCACCGCGGCATCCAAGCCTCGCATCTCCCCTAAAAATTCTACCTCTGCCTCTCCTCGACAGACAGCAGACCGGCGTTGTCCGCAGAGCAAGAGCCGCCGCACCACTCTCGGTCTCGGTCTCGGTCTCGGTCTCGGTCTCGGTCTCGGTCTCGGTCTCAGTCCCGGTCTCGGTCCTGGTCTTGGTCCCGGTCGCGGTTCCGGTCCCGGTCCCGGTCCCAGTCCCGGTCCCAGCCCCGGTCCCGGTCGCGGTTCCGGTCTTGGTCTCGGTCCCAATCTCGGTGTCGGTCTTGGTGCCAATCTCGGTCTCGGTTTCGGTCTCGGTCTCGGTCTCGGTCTCGGTCTCGGTCTCGGTCTCGGTCTCGGTCTCGGTCTCGGTCTCGGTCTCGGTCGGTCTCGGTCTCCAGACCGGCGCGCTCGTTCACCAACCTTCGCTGGTCCGGTGAAAACGCCCGCCGGTGTCATGCGTGGGAACAGGGCTGCCCGCCGCCGCCGCCGCCGCCGCTCGACGTACGTGGGACACCAGGCGGCAGCGGCCGCCGCGGCCGCCAGCAGCATCTCACGACAAGAGGCGGCAACAGGCGCTATCCAGCGGCGGGGAACGGTAACCGACGGCGGGGAACGAAACTGGCGGCGGCCAGAAGCGGACGCCATTTGCGTTGACGACCAGTAGCAGCCAGGGGCGGAAAATAAGCAGGCAGCAGCCAGCGCTCAGTAGCGCAGCAGCCGGCGCTCAGCAGCGCAGCAGCCGGTGCTCAGTAGCGCAGCAGCCGGCGCTCAGTAGCGCAGCAGCCGGCGCTCAGTAGCGCAGCAGCCGGCGCTCAGCAGCGCAGCAGCCTACTGCGGGCGGGCACCGGCAGCTCAGAGGCCGGCAGCCGCTCGGCGCCACGCTCGCCAGTGCTGAGTCACGGGTCCCCTCCCCCACCTGTCCCACTTCCGGCCCGAGGGGAGCCCGACAGAGTGGGGGCCGCAGCGCCGGCCGGCACCTGTGAGCGCGGCGAGGCCCAGTCCAGCCCGGCGCAACGCGCTCCGTACCGGACGCACGTGCCGGTGAGCCACTGCGGCGAGGCGATGCGTGCCTTCCTCTGAGAATTGTCGGATGTGTGCTGCTTTGTCGAGCCTGGCGACGCCACTGGTGACGAGGTGCGCCGCCCTGACTACGCCCCTGGCGCACGTCCGCAGCCGTGGGCGCTGGGCCCCGTTCTGTGAGAACCCCTCCCCCCGGGTAGGATTTCAGGTAATCAGCCAATCACGGGTACATGGATACCGCGTGTTACGGCCCCGGGGAAAGGGCACCGACAAGGCGCAAGAAATGGTGGGCGGACCCCTGCGCGGCGTGCCGAACCCCAGCTGAGGAGGGGGGGGGGGGGGCGCCACGGCCTCCGCCCACAGACGACATTCACCGTGAGGCGGCCCGGCTGACGTATCGGTCTTCCTTCCGAAGGAAATGCGGATAAGATGGTTTTGCGACTGGCCCATGCTGCGATCCCGCGATGGCGAGGCTCTCCAAAGACAGCCAACCGGCCAGACGGCGTCACCATCAGTCAACCGGTCCGCCAGGTCGGAACGAGCCAGCTCGTTACCGGTCCAAAAGAAACGGACGGCTCTTCCGGCTCACGCCGTGGGTCTCCCTCCCAACGGGCGTAGAACCAGAAACATCACCGCATACCACAACATTGAGTCACCAAATGTGTTTTCTTTAACCGTTCCAATGCAGTCTTCAGTGTAACCCGTTTGCAGGGCAGCTGTTTAGTCGCAGGGACAGATCCATGAGAATGGTCGCATGCGAGTCATAACCTTTGGGGACGTCTCCTTTGTAGACTTCTGACAATGCACTCGCACTGGTCACCACCGTGCGTGGCGCACACATTACGTAAGCTGTCTCCGCCCTAACTTCTCCAGGCTCCAACATCAGTGAGGTGGCGGCCACTACGAAGGTCTGATAAGGAGTGCACCTGGTGAATGGCCGGCGGTGGCGTTCTGCGTATCTATTCCACTGCGCACAGTGACGATGAGTGCGGAGTCATCCTGGCCCGGCGGCGCAGCAGCCAGACGACCGGATAGAGCTCTGAAGCAACCGGACGGAGCTCTGAGGCGACCGGACGGAGCTCTGAGGCGGCCGGACGGACCTTGAGGCGACCGGATGAAGCTCTGAGGCGGCCAGATGGACCTCTGAGGCGACCGGATGGACCTCTGAGGCGACCGGACGGACTTCTGAGGCGACCGGACGGGGCTCTGAGGCGACCGGACGGAGCTCTGAGGCGGCCGGACGGACCCTGAGGCGGCCGGACGGAGTTCTGCGACAACCGGACGGACCTCCGAGGTGACCGGACGGAGCTTTGAGGCGATCCCGGCGCTCCCAGCGTCGCTGCTCAACGCGACCGTTGCCGCTATCACCCAGCGCTGCGGTCTGAGCGCGACGCAGCCTCGGGCCGGCGGGGACAGGGCAGTGCACGCGCATCCTGAAGCGGGTCCCCGACCCCGCTGACACACCGCGGCCGCTGATTCACCCTGATGACGTCACGCGGCGCCGGCGCCGGCTGGAGCATCCGGCCCGGTCCCGGCTGGGGCGGGCCGCCACCACGCTGGAGCCCAACCTTGATTCAACTGATTTCATTCAGTGATAGTCTGGTAGATCGTACCCAGTGCGAGATCCGACATGGCGTCTTGCGATCGGATCTCGGTAGAATGCTTCAATTGGCGCATTGTCAGCAGCGGTCCGCGTGATTTAAGGCTTCAAACTTGTGGAATCTCTTGTACACAGCCGATCGCTAACTCATCATAATTGATTTACGGCGGTTTGAGGACCGGACCACGCCACCATCCGGTCAGATCAGGATGACTCGGCTCTGAGGCACCAGCAGGCTCTGGGCACCGTCTGTGGCCGCTTCCTTTCAGGCATACAACTGAGGAGGGTGACAATGGGCCATGCCCCCCCCCCCTCCCCCAGCCAAGAGGTTCACAAAAACATCGTTTTTTGCAGGAGTTCAGTCTAAATTCGCAAGAACTCGGAGAAAATTTGGCATCTACACCCCGGACAAGAATTATGGTTGCGCGTGTGCTTCATGTGCTCATGTGTGGAGCGGGCGGGCGCCGGGGGTGCAGATGCGGCGGATGTGCTGGCATTTGACCTCGCCGCGGACGGCGCTTGAATACCAACGCCCGGGCTACGTTTGAAAGCGGGCTGTGCTGGCTGGACCCACAGAGGTGCCGCCAGCCAGGCAGCATTTCCGGACAGGTTGTGCAAAAACCTGCGGATTAACGGGCGCTTGTGCGCTTTGTGTTTAAGACCTGTCCATCGGCCCGGAGCTCCAAATTCCGTGAAATGGAAAGGACCTGTGATTTCGGGTGGTCAAATACAAGCAGCTTCTCTTCCACCGGATGGCTCATCATTTCGTGGCTTGCTTCGAGAGCTCCTGGCAAGGTCTCCGGATGAAGTTCACTTCAACGCAAACCCTGAACTCGGACCAGATTTAAACGATGGTGGTGGACGCCGCTGAGCTGAGATTGCCGTATTTGCGACGGCTGCTTGATATCAGACCAGAGTTATGCCCGCCAATCCGTACTCAAGCACCACCAGAAACGCACGTGCCTGTGTGACGCTCTGCCCCGACGTTGCGCTTCGCCGCTCGGCGCCGGGCCTCGCTGCCGGCGCTCGCCGCAAACATGACGTCAAAGCGACACTGCAGCTCATTAAATCCGCCGGCCCGGGCCCTTTCTCAGACGGCGTCAGTCAATCAGGTGTCACGAAAACAGGCTGACCGGCGTCGACTTACCTAAACACAGCCGCAGAAGCATGCCGATGGCTGAGCGTCCAGCCGCGTTACACTATCACATCCTCCGCAAAAACCCACAGCACCTCCCAGCCGGCCGTCTATCGCATCGCGCGGCGACAACTGGCGCTGGACGGCGCTCCGGCGGCGGCGACCACCCTCGCTCGCGGCGCGGCGCGGCGCGGGCACACCTGAGACACTCCCATGCCTTCCGACAGATGGCAGCACGGGACGACCCCTCACCTGAGCGACTTTGGACATGGCTTATTTTCGCGTGCACGCAGCGAAGCAGTGCTGGATAACAGGGAGTCACTGTGCGTGGTTTGTTGACCTGAACCCATGCTGTGCATCCATGGTCAGTTCAGCAATATGTGAGGGAGTGTTTGGACCTTTGCCTCCCGCATTTGGAGAACACCTTTCTTCCGCAGGAGCCGAACTCACCAGAAACAAGTGGAATGGAAAGAACAAAGAGCAGGCGAGCCAAATGCTTCAATGAACAAACGCCGTTTTTTATGATAGTGCAAAAAGCGAGCGATGAAAGTTCGAACGTGCGCGCAACCGTAATTTGACCTCCCGCGCGCAGAGTCGTCGACGGAACGTGCAGGCCGGCGCGCCGACCCCACGGGCCACACGTGATGGGCGTGTGATCCCACTGAATGGTGCCCTGGCCAGCGGTGCGAGCGCGGTTTGAATGGTCGTGCCGTTAAGCACCGTGCCGCGCGGCCCACAGCCCAATGCTCGCTCAGGTGCAGCCCAGCCGGCGCTTACGGACAACAGACGCGTGGTAATGCCGCTCGCGGATATCCCCGCATGCCAGACGCGACGTCCCCCCTCCCCCGGTGCGCGTGCACAACAGGCGGATCGATGGTAGTAAATTATCGACTGGAGGAATCGTGGTTAATCGATGTCCGTCAGTTGTATAGACCGTCATGGAGCCCAGGCGAATTCACCCAGCTTGGCTAACTTGGATCTAATCTTTCACAAACGCCCCGACAAAAAAGACTCGGAACAGTCTTGCACGTGTGTGCGTCACGGGTGACGTCATTCTCGCATTCCGCGCGGGTCGTGTGAATCAGGAAAACGTTTGACGTTCCTGTGCAATGTCCGCATATATTGGCGCAAAATGACCGCACCACAAGACACTTGGAAACAGCTATGAAGCCGTTCGGTTGCTACGACACAGACGAAGCATGGGTGATGGATGCGCCACACGACGGCGTCCGGATTCAGCGCCGACCGCGTCTCGGCGAGGCGCTCGACCGCCACCGCCCAGGAGTTCAGCACGTAACAAAACACCGCGGTACAGTCCGCACGCGGCGCCAGCCCGGCAGCGCGGCCGGCCGTCACCCGTCGCCAGCCGCGTCCTCCGCCGAGTGGGCGCCGGTCGGGCCGGGGCCGGCCGGCCGCACGTGGTCCGCGGCCGCCGCTGGGCCGTCCGGGGTCAGATCCGCACCGGCCGCCGGCCCGTCCGGAGCGCCTGGCGGCGTCCCGTCCAGCGGAGCCGGAGCCGGAGCCGGAGCCGGAGCCGCTGCCGGAGCCGCCGCCGGAGCTGGAGCCGCCGCCGGAGCTGGAGCCGCCGCCGCCGCCGCCGGGGCCGGAGCGGGCGCAGGGCCCGCCGCGCTCCGGCCGGCGGAGGGCGCCTCCTCGCCAGAGATGAACTGCTCCCACTTGGCCAGCCGCTCGGCCCGCTCCTCCTCAGTCTCCTCCACGCTGCCGCAGGAGACACGATCGCGTCAGGCAGGCGGTCACCGGCCGCTTCGAAAACTGATTTGTCCGTTTCTGCCACACTGGTTTTACTGCTGTCCTCTCTTATGCTCACTGAAAGATTGGTGACGATCTACTGCCCATTATACCAATACATTGCACCGCACTCTTCGCTGGTCGTTTCCTTGCAAGACACGTCAATCAAAGTGGCAGGAAAGTGGCACGGTTCAGTCTACGGCACAAACGCAGCATAGGCATTTGACACCTGTTCGGTCTGACAACCTGGTTCAGTCTGAACTCATACAAACGGCGCAGGAGCAGCCTGCAGCCTCGCCGACAGACCCGGTGACTCGGCCGTCCGAGCCGACGACCTGGCCGACAGGGCCGACGATCCGGCTGACAGACCCGGTGACCCGGCCGTCAAACCCGACGACCCGGCCGTCAGAGCCGACGATCTGGCTGACAGACCCGACGACCTGGCTGACAGACCCGACGACCTGGCCGACAGACCAGACGATCTGACCGACAGACCCGACGACCTGGCTGATAGAGCCGACGAGCTTCTACCCGGTATGTGTCCGCGGAATCGATATCGTCCCTGACCCACGGCCCGTGTGGCTAGCGCAGACTCTGAATCGTAGCTGTGCGGCGTAATTTTCAGTCGAGTTTCAGTCTTTAGAGTCGGCTCGGCTTTGACTAAGAGGGAGGCTTACTTCAAACGATGGCAGCGTTTGCAGAAAAAAGAGCATTACCTCGGTATAAGCAAGAAACGCCTTAAGCTGTTGGCTTTTCGACACGAGCTCAGGGTTCTCAAGCTGAGTTATCGACCTTCAACACACCAGGAGGCGCCGCTTAAACGACGCTATACGCAAACACTGATTATATTGAAAGGATACGACGTTTAAGCTGTGCTTAAGCTCTGGGTACGTTTCATGGTAGGGCCGAGCTCTCGTGAGCATGAGCCCAGCTCGAAACGTCGAGTACTGGCAATATAACCAATGCTTGCACTGCAATGTCGTTTAACCAATATATCGTGGTATACTCAAGGTCGATAACTCAGCATGAGAATTTTGGACCTAAAACATTGTTCGCTAAACGCATAAGTAATGCGTCCATGCATGAGCGTGAACGATGAATTCATGGGTTCGCGGGAACGATGAATTCATGGGTTCGTGGGAACGATGAATTCATGGGTTCGTAGGAACGATGAATTCATAGTTCGTAGTTCGTAGGAGTTGACACGTATGCCGAATAGATTCCGATGGAACTGATTCCGGGCGACACGAATTTTGGAAATAGCATTTAAACTTGATCATTTTAGCTGCAAGCTAGATGGCACATGGGAAAACATCGTACGGGCACATAAGCCGACATTTTACCTGTTTTTTTTTCTCTCATAATAATGCACAAACGCAGGTGTTCCAGAACAATGCGTGTATAAGCTGGAACTGCTCGTAGATAAAAGTATAAGTTCATGTAACTGAAACTGAAGCTTTGCAGTGACCTATCGACAATTCAAGTCCCACAGACTGAATCAACTCCGATTTGGACCGGATTGGGCCGACCGGACTGAATGTCAAATGTACGATGGCTTACAGTTGTGTTTGTAAAACATTTAACAGATTTGTGGTTTTCCTTGGCCTTGGAACGGTCAGGGGGTTCTAAGAATATTAGGGTCACAGGATGGTTCAGAGCCTTACGGCGGCCAGCAACCATGAATATAATGAAGCCCTTGGGCCAGGCGTGCCCAACCGCGGAAATTCTCAAGGGGGGGGGGGAATGCGAGGAACCCGTGAGGACGGGGGGGGGGGTACGATGTAGCCGAACCATTCATGAGTCTAGAAAAATAATCGTCCAGGAAAAGTGATTTCGCCAAAATGCACTTCGTCAAAAAATATGCAATAGCCAAAAACAGCATCGTTGTTTTCAAGGTCCGCGTTTCAGTCTTCCAACCGACATACAGTGTTCAGGCATGACAGAGATACTCAGAGTTTAATTTCGTGACTTTAATGGTGTTCACGGCACGTCATTACCGTGTGTAACACATCTCTGCAGCTGCCCGCCGCTTATGAGATCCAAAGCCTGACAAGCACTGCCTTACAGACTACAAGAATCACAATCCTGAGATGACCAGACGCTATGAAACCATCACGGATCATGAAACGGTCGATAACTCGGATGGTCAGGGATACTGTCAGCATCCCCCCTCCCCCTCCCCCCAGGGATACTGTCAGCATCTCCCCTCCCCCTCCCCCCCCCCCCTCCAGGGATACTGTCAGCGCGGTCAGAGGCCTTCTTCGCAACTGACCAAAGGCCCCTCGTGCACTGAAAGGGACTCAGGGTCACTGCTCGAGGGGCTAAAAATCGCTGGTCAAGGGGCTCAGGATCACTGGTAGAGGGGTTCAGGATCACTGGTTGAGGGGCTTACGATCACAGATCGAGGGACTTAAGGATCACTGGTCCAGCGCGTCGGGATCACTGGACGAGCAGCTCGGGATCACTGGTCGAGCAGCTCAGGATCACAGGTCGAGCAGCTCCGGATCACTGGTTGAGGGGCTTACGGTCACAGGTCGAGGGACTTTAGGATCACTGGTCGAGCACGTCGGGATCACTGGACGAGCAGCTCGGGATCACTGGTCGAGCAGCTCAGGATCACTGATTGAGGGGCTTACGATTACAGGTCGAGGGACTTTAGGATCACTGGCCGAGCACGTCGGGATCACTGGGCGAGCAGCTCAGAATCAATGGTCGAGCAGCTCAGGATCACTGGAGAGGGACTTTAGGATCACTGGTCGAGGGGCTCAGGATCACTGGCCGAAGCGACCTTTGGGATGCTTGTGGCCTCCAGAGGCCTGTGGCCACAAGGCCTTTTCATGGGTGCTAGAGTCTATTGTGACTGGCCAGACCTCCCTCTGGAGTGGATAGGGGTCCTCGGGACATGTCGTCGAGACCATCTGGGGCCCGCCAAGGACCCCCGAAGCCACTGTGTTCAATATAAGTGTATATGTAATGTGTATATAAGCAATGTATGTAGCCATGTAAGCAATGTATGCAAGCAATGTAAGCAATAACACAAGCTCAATCCGAATTGACAACACCTTTGAGGAGTGCCCGAACACTCTGAGCATCTAAGGGTCCTTCGCCATAAGGGGGCTCTGCGTGACTGGTTGCGGCACTGCCAGGAACTCATTGAGGCCACCACGGACGTAGAGTTGTTGTCAGGGCCTTCCGTGGTGGATCAGACTCATTAAGGACTGCTGCTGGGCCAGTTTGAAGGTCAAAAACATTCCCTGAGTGCTGGAGTGCCAAACGACTGGTCACGGGCGTCCTTGGGACCGCTGGGATTCTGTTTAATCGATGGCAAGGCCCAGTTTGAGACAGCAAAAGCCTTCACAACGGCCCTGCTGGGACTGGTCAATATCCCCTCCAGATCACTAAGGACCTGCTGACCAGCCTGGGGGCGACAGTGTCGACGTTTCAGGACTTCGTCTGAACTCAGGAGAGCCGTATCGCAGAAGGCTGCAAGATTACACGGGAGAGCGACGGGCTTGCTAGTTCCAATCGTTCCGTCATCAATGGTCTACACCAAGTATAAATGATCACAATGCTTACGGCAGCAACATCAAATGGCCCGCAAGACCTCGCAAGCAAAACATTGGACAAACGGGAGCAGCGCGATAGCGGGAGCGGCGCGGGCACAAAGAAGCTCCGCGTGGCGCCCACAGTTCTTTACTGTGCCGGAGAGCAATTGCGGGGCTCACGTTTTAGAAAGACGCGGCTTCGAATTTGCCTTTTCTGAAGACTGTCTGAAACAATGCACTAAACCTATCCGAACAGAACACACTGAAAACATCATCATCTTCGCTCAGGTGACGCAGCAGCGAAACTAAAAATGCAGCCTAAAATGGTAGAGTAATTGCCGAACTCATAACAGTATTGCATGCTTTTAATTTACTCATTTTTACATGTGTACCTTGATTGTTAATTGCCGATACCATTTGGGTGCAAATGCATGACAAATTGTTAGAACGGGATGTGACACATACCCAAGGTGCTCCCCTCCCACGCACGCACCACATACACGTGACCTTAACCACACTGCCCATTGCCTCCCTTTCTCCAAGGCTACTCGCCTCCCATGTCACTGTAAACGCTTTGCCGCGCGGAATCCGAACATCCGGGATACGCATATTGACAACAGCGGAGGTCTGCTTTACCAGGGTGGACACCACGGTTTGCAAAATGTCTGCTATATGATAAGAATTTGCATCCATCAACATTCGCCATAAGACGTCAGCGTCCACAAATAGCTTGGATACAAACATTTTCGGAGCTTTGCGATGCGGCGGCGGAGATGCCAATATTATCCCCCCGCCCCGAACTACGGCGCAAACACTCATTTAGAAAAAAATCATTCGTGACGATCCACCCCACATCATCTGTCGCGCCACCGTTCGCCAGGTTACTTTCAGCGCCGCGTCCACTTGGAGCGGCGAGTGACGCTCCGCCCCAGCCGTGTGGTGAGAAGCCGGGCGGCCGCCGCCGCTGCAGACAGGGGCCGCGGACGGCGCCGGTCGACGCCGTCACCGGAGACGGCGGCGCCGCCCGCCGGCTCGCGCGCCTCGGTAACGGTGGCAGCGTGCAGCGATGCGCAGCGTCCCGTCTACCGGACGCGCCGTCGCAAAGCTCGTCTCCAGACCCGTCCCACACCTGCCTCTAGTTTTGTGCCTTGCTTTGTGTGGTTGGAGCTCTTTCGGCCGGTGATGGCGACGATGAGAGGTGAGGTAATATGGCAGTCATCTGGGTGACCCCCACTGACCGGCTTTTGACCTTTACCAACCCTTTCCCCCTGCTAACGCACTGGTCGCGCTAAGCCAAACCCGCACCCTCCCCCGGCTGCGCTGTGCTAAGCATGACGTTCCACAAACGCTACGTCCGTTTGGCCCCTAATGAAACTAGAGGTCCGAGACAAGGACAGACGTGTTGCCTACCATGGGAAGAAAAACGGTGATGGGTTTCCAGCCCCCGTCCCCCTCCCCCTCAACTTTTGGAAGAAAATTGGTCAAATCCGAGAGAAACACGCTTCGCATATGCTTTGGAGTATGCGGTGCCACTTTCAGAATCCAGCCCCCTACCCCACCCCTCACCCCAACTTATTTTACGGATCCATAGCACTGAGAGGTCAACGATAGTCGGTTTCCAGGTCTCAAAATATCACTCTCGAGTTTAACACGATATGCTGTCAAACCTGAGATTAACATCATGCTTTGCCCCCCCCCCCCCCTGCGGAATGTAATTTATGAGCGACCACTTGCCCCACAAATGGACCCGCCTTTCTTCGGGGCCTGTGCGGGCTCCCGTCAGGGTGGCCATGAAGCCGGCTCACGGCCAGCGACACGGTCAGCGAGGAGACTCCCCTTCGGCCAAGGGGTTTACATTAGATAATGAGCGACTTCGCACTTCTCCGGAAATTCGGCCCACAGTCGCGCAGCAGTTTGGAGAAACTGGCATTTACCCTCCCCTCTCCTTAGGCCAATGCTGCGGCTGCGTACGCCCCAATGGCTGACGGCCGCAGGACGTCCCAGTGACACGGGGCATTGCAAGGGTTGGGATGAAATGGCGGATGTAGAAAACAGGGCGGGTGCTGGCGCTGGATCTCTTCCATTGATATCACTGGACTCGATCTCTTCAGCCCACAGGTCTGGACCAATTTCTTGCTCCAGAATGGTAGTTCCGCAAAATAAAATGGGGGGAGGGGGGTGGGCTGAGCAGGGAAAAGTGGCCAAACCTGTCGTAAAATTAGCTCAAAACGGTTCTCCTGCGACTCAAGCCCACTTATCTTGACAGCTGGTGGATGGCTGGAGCTCCCCAACTGGACACAAACTACATCTCGTCTTGCTCTCTGCAGCCGTGGCACTCGTCCGTCCGAAGATAGCCGTCTGCATCAGAGAGGCGTTTCCAAAGGAGGACCAAGGGACCGTGCGTGTCCGCTCCCCCCCCCCCCCCCCCCCCCCCTCTCCCCTGTTCATCACTTGAGCCAACAGGTTTGCTCCACATTTTGGCGCTTCGCAGACATTTGGTTCAAATTCGCGGGATTTTGGAGAGAATTTCGTCATTTGCCTCTCACCTCTGCTTCTGAGGAAAACTCTGGCTACATGTCTGGCACCTAAATAGATCCACTCTTCGTCCTGATCCAGCTACGGGGTTTCAACATGCACTGATCAATGGCATTTCCATTACAAAGTCCACCGCAATTTGCGGTGCCGCTCCCGATCGCGTGTGAAATCTTACGATGTGCTGCGTATCACGCCGCGCCGTGTCAACGATATGCCACGGCTAGCAGAGGCGTGCCGAGGTCTCACAAGGTGCAATACATTCCTTAATAAAACTGATTTTTCCGTGTGCGACTACATGGCTGACGCTAGAATTGTGGAAAGGCGGGTAGGCTATGCCCCCTCCCCTTCCCGCGTACCCACGCTTATAATGGGCCTATGGTCACGTTTACGCCTATGACACAGAAACATACGTCATCTGCTCCTCCACGATTCGGATTGCCGCGGTGTATCTTCCTGGCGACGCCGCCGCCTCCACCGCCTCGGTAGCGCAGTAGGCAGCGCGTCAGTCTCATAATCTGAAGGCCGTGAGTTCGATCCTCACCCGGGGCAACTTTTGAATTTTGGGTTGGCGATTCTAGAGGAAAGCTACGGCACGGCTCGGCGTCGGGTCAGTAATACCGCTTTTGTTCATCCTGGGAACCTAGGGACCTACGAAGTAACGAATTCAGCCAATGATTCACCACTTAAGCACGCAATGTGCTGACTTGTCATTCCACGCAGCGAAAGATGGTCGACAGTTGATTGCGCCCACCGATGTTCTTCATGGGCGTTATTGAGTTGCTCGTTTAAAAACTGTAAAGCTACGCGAACAGCAGGTCATTTCACCCTCTGCTGTGCGAGGCTTAATTACCGCTAGCTGTCGGCATTGCCAGCATGTGCGGAAAGGAGCGCCGGCGCCGTCCTTCGTGTATGGTGCAGGCCGGGTTCCATCCGACACCGCAGGATGGCTGGTTCGGAAACCCGCCGCCAGGCGTCGGTTTGCTGGGCTGTCGGCTAAGCCGGCACTGGAGCTGTGGCCGGCCGCTAGGTGGCGGGTACGGCCGTACCAGGCATCCCAGGTGCCGCAGTCGATATATGCGTGAGGAAGCCAACGTCACATCCGAAGGCCAGCACGATGTGGAACGCGGGAAATGAATGGCCTTTCGAGACACTCCGCATCGTGGCCTCTCTGGGATAAGTTCTTGGGCAAGAGCTGAAGACGGTGGGGATCTGGGATTGCCTGTCTGGGTGGGATTGCAACCACCGCTTCAACTGACCACACAATACATCCTGCTTGGGTGTTCACGATGTAAATTTACAACTGTGCGAATTTTTTTCACAATCCAAAAGGTAACGTTAAAATATTGACACGTTCAGGAGTGTTGGGTGGCTCTAAATATTTGTGGTAATAAACAAGTGCAGCGAACATATACGTCCCTCCCTAGTGCACTGCGCTCGGTTGCTCTGCGGTGAATGGAAACCAAACCTTTCCGGGACCGTACACCCATACCGAGTGGCAGGCGGAGCAAGTGTGCGTAGCACTGAACCATGCTGCAATGATATGGCCACTTGGTGCCAATGGTGTTTCTCGGTAACGGCTGGCGCGGCGTGCTGGCCAGCGACACCAAAACTTTACACAGTCTTTGCAGTGCAAGCGCCCTTAAAACCCAATTACTGCTACGTAGAAAGCACAGACACATCTCTTTGCATACAGAAACTTGTTTCCAGCCAACCGCTCGCTTCTTCCGCTGGACTTTTACGCCCAGCGAGTCTCGCCGATAATGAGAACCACAAAAGCCTTTGCACACTTATGGACGGCCGGCTTTCAAAGAGGAATGGACCAAGGGACCCTGGATAACAGGAGGTCCCGGAGACGCACTCTCCTATTTAGCTGGGGTCGGGAGGAGATTTCAGTCCGCAACTTGGCTAGCAACCTCTCCCAAACTTCGAAAAGCAGGCGGGCCAAATTCGGGGAGAACCTCGACTGGTGGCGTATTTCGAGAGCAGGCTTCGGCATTGTTAATTGTTCATCTTTGTTCCACACCCGGCCACCGCCCCCGACTCATTTTGCCACACTATGCCCTTGGGAGTCTCTCTGTCACAACTACAGCTGGGAGGCGGACCCACGCCACAGCGGCCATGTATGCTCAGCCGTCCATACATTCACTTCACCACATGGGCCTGCATTCCCGACTCCAGAGAACGACGGAGCATTCCAGAGCCGGAGGCTCGATGACACTTTCCCAGGCCCTTCCAGCGAGACCCTGGGGGAGTCGGTCAGCCAAACGCGATTTCCCGCTCGGGGTCCGTCCACGAGAGGCCTCAGTGGGTGGGGAATGTGAGCCGCCAAGCCAGTGAGTGTGCGACCGAGCAGCGGAGCAGCATGTCAGGAACAAGCCGGCCGAATATCGGCGGTGAGGTAATCAGGAGCCCGTCAATCACATACCGATAATACCAGCTTCACCCGCGCCGCCCATGATCATGAAGTAGAGAGGGCGGGCAAACTGTAGCTAACAACCGATTATACGCCTGATGCGCAACAGCAAAGCAAAAAGAAAAAAAAACAGCGGCAAGCCCAGAGAACGATTCACGGCCTTTACCAACTCCATTTTCATCTCCATGATCTGTTCTCGAGTGAAGGCGGAGTTGTCTTGATCAAGGGGTGGGGTGGGGTGGGGTGGGGAGGGGGCTACCCCGCAGCGTTCGGATTCGGAGCGTTGGTAAATTCGATAGAATATTTGCATTTAGCGAGTATTCGACAAACAAAATCGGCGCAGGAGCATTTGGTAAGATTCGAACATCGATTGAGGCCAGTATACCGATCAAGCATGAATGCAAATGTTAAAATGTTTGTATTTTATGGCCCATGTTTTATCGAACGTACTATGGTCGTTATAAAAAGCCACTGGGCTTAATTAACCCGTTTTCCAATTGTATGGCCTTCGAAATGAGAACCATCATTTAGACACCTCTTCAAACACAGCCAATGTACGACAAATATAAAGTTGCCCTGCATGCAACCTGGTCATCATGCTCGCTTGTCTCAGTTGGGTCTGGTCACCATGCTCGGTTGTCTCAGTTGGTCTGGTCACCATGCTCGCTTGTCTCAGTTGGTCACTACGCCGTGATGCTGCGGCATGAACGCCAGTTGAGCTGCATTACAGGCATTTCAATTATGTACTGCGCCCCGAAACGCCCATGCTGCTGGCAAAACTCTGGAAAAGTCCTGCAGCGAAGGATGAAAGGCCTGGAAACTTAAGCAAGATAGGACGTCCTGGTAGTCGAGAAAACAGCAGCTATCTCAACCTTCCGCTTTTGTCCTCAAAGATATCTGGACGCCCACCAGTGCTTCAAAATTTTAAATTTAATTAATGAGCGCAGCCAAGACAAATTCCCCGCTCTGACCTGCGTTATGTCCTTTCCGCCGCCCGCCTTGATACAACCCTTACGCAAATACAATTCACAGTGTAAGGGCATACGGCGGTGAAAGCCTCCTCTGGACACGACTCAACATTACAAGCAGGAGCAACACTACTCGACAGAATATTCGCATGGTTATCATGACCGGCGGACACACCACCATACTGTCGAAAGTACCTGACAGACAACCTCCTGCAGCCACACAATGCGGCTCGATCACCTATTGGAGCATTAAACCCAAATCAAATGCCTACTCTAGAAGGCAAAATCTTATTCCCCTTCATCTGACCTGATCAAACGGCCCGGCGCACAATCCTAACCTCGCACGAACCTGCCCCGTATACGTGCGAACTGCCCGGGAGGTGTGGTGGCCCGGCCCACACCCTCCCTCCCTCCCTCCCTCCCTCCCTCCCTCCCTCCCTCCCTCCCTCGTACCGGTATTTGGTCTTGCCGTCCCACGTGGCCGCCTCCAGGCGCCGGCCGGCAAACCACCGGCCGCTCATTTTGGTCACGCAGGCGTCAGCCTCGACCGCCTCTTGGAAGATCACCTCCACGACGCCGTCCTTGTGACGCTGTAATGGGGCGACGATAAGCTCACGGCGTCACGTTCACCACACTGTCCTGGTGACGCTGTAACGAAAGTCGGTCCGCTCACGGCGTCACGTTCACCACACTGCCCTGGTGACGCTGCAACGAAAGTCGGTCCGCTCACGGCGTCACGTTCACCACACTGTCCTGGTCACGCTGTAACGAAAGTCGGTCCGCTCACGGCGTCATGTTCACCACCCTGTCCTGGTCACGCTGTAACGAAAGTTGGTGCGCTCACGGCGTCACGTTCACCACACTGTCCTGGTCACGCTGTAACGAAAGTCGGTCAGCCGCGGGCCTTCACTCCGTCCGTGAATGATTATTACAGCAGACGGCCAGCGTAAAACAGCGTGGTTTCAACAGACGCAGTCCACTGCCGAGACATCAACAGAAAGAATCCACCGGGCAGGGAACAGTTTACCGAGGACGACCGTGCGCCCCCCCCCCCCCCCTTCCCGGAGCAAGACTCCCGGCCCGTCGGGACCCGCCAACTGGCGCTACTCACATCATGTAGCACAACCTTGCGGACGGCGCCGTACTTGGAGCACTCGTCGCGCAGGTCCTGCTGGTACTCGAGGATCATCTCCGGCCGGCTGCGGAACTCGTCCGGCGAGAACAGGTTCTTGATGATGACGACGCGCTCGTGGCGCTCGCGCTCCCCGCGGATCTTGTCCGGCTGCCAGGCGAACAGCCTGCGGGCGGCGGGCGGCGCGCGTCAGCGGTGCCGTCTCTCGCGGGCGCCAGGTCAGTGACGCGGCTGGTGGTGCAGCGCCATGATGGAGGATACGCTATTGTGGCACGAGCTGACCCACAGTCTAATTCGGGCAGCATTACGCAGCATTACAGCCGGAGGTGGAGTTTACCAACATTACGTGCCTGGGCTCGTGTCAACGCAAACGCCGAGAATAGAGAGGGATATACCAGGTCGTGACAAAATGAGTGACAATTACCATAATATGAGAAACATTTTGCGGGGTACATAATTCTCGCTTGGAAATCTAACGAGGCAGACAGAGAACTTCAACTTTGCACAGTGAACAACGACGAAGGCCAGACCGTTTAACCATTCCGCCCTGGAGTGTCTCACGCATTAACGGCTTGTGAAATGTAAAAATTAGCATAGAATTAAAAAACAGCCAAAATTCTCGTAGAATAAAAGTAAGGCGGCTGCATGCTGACAGATAGTTGTACGCATCAAACAAAGACCATCGGAGCTTACTTCTCCTGCTTCTTTTGCAGTTTTTCCCTGTCCTTCTTCTTCAATGTGCGCTTTTTGGGCTTCTTCGTCGGATCAAAGGACCCCTTCATGTCAAATGTGGCCTTTTCAACGCTGAGTCTTTTGCCTTTGAACTCGTAGCCGTCCAGAATATCCAGCGCCAGGTTCACCGACTCGATCTGGAGATCGGAAACCATCGGCCGTTAAGGTGCTCTCACATGGAACTTCACCTGCACAAATATCCTGCCCCTCTCTGAGAAAGTAAAAACGACTTTACGTGTCTCGGGACAATCAATAACAAGTTCCACCAATAACAGCACCTAAAACTTAAACATTGCACAGGGTTCTCAGCAACATCTTGGCATTACTTCAAAAGCTAATATAATATAGTTACTCATCATAACAAAAGTTTGCAGTCAAGCAAAAAGGTGATAAGGTCCAAACTGAGAGATCCGATGTCCAATCGTTTAGTCAACAGGCATTTGTTCGAGTCTGGAAACTGCAGCCGAAGAGGGCACATCACAAACCATCCCACATAAAAACTCCAATAATAACACCCCAGTTATTTCTTTCAATCTACAGAGCATAACGTTCGCAAGGCGTCTGCGACAACGCGACTGTGCGAACAAGGTGGGCAATGTAAATGTTAATAAAACCTTAAGACCACCAGAATCACCCATGCATAAAAATAAGGCTCAAGCAGCTTCTCGTTTTCTTTTCATATTCATGTCGGTCAGGTTATCGACCATTGTAACTGAAAAGACCGATAGCGTCTACGCATCCTGCTCTAAGTGCAGACAATCGAAGTTCTTCACAGAATCGAGTCCGTATCACTTGGTCCGAGAACGGTCCCCCTTTCCCCTCGGTCAGTTACAGACACACCTTATCGTGCTGGAGTTCGCACGCCAAACTTCGGCATAAACCAATCGAGAACCCGATCACAACGCCCAAATGCATTGTTTAATATACGCAGAGCCGCGTGCCTGCAAGGCAACTTTCCTGTGATCTCATGTCATACCCCTGCCATCATTGCGAACCTTTATGTACGTGCAAATGCCGTCTCCCTTGGGCACGCCGTAGTCATCGCGGTAGAGCTTGACCTTCCAGGCGTTGCCCCTGAGCGGGTCCTTCATCACCAGGCCGCACTTCGACATGAGCTCGACGAACTCGGCCTCGGTCGTCGACTCGGCCAGCCCGGACACGTACACCTTGGTGTTCTTGCTGTCGTCCAGCTGGAACCACTCTACGAAAAACCGGCTCGACGGTCACGCACGCCGTCCACATCGTGTTTGTGTGGGGCTGTTTTTAAATCAACTGCTCCAGTTTTGATGAGCTAAAATGGCCTGGCCGCCTTTCCGCACACTTGGCGAGCAACATCGTCACGCTGTACAGTGGCCAGGCAATTTCGGCTTATCAAAGCTGGAGTAGCTGAATGAAAAACAGTCTCACATAAACTTAACATTCCCAACCGCGAAAAGAACTAATTAACGTGACGTGGTGTCTCCGGACCAGCTTCACCGGCGAAGAAGACAGCTGCTGCCGCCCCCACATACCGACCCAGCACCAAGGTCATCGCCGCGCTCAGGTCATCACCACGCGTGTGTGGCGGCTGGCTCTTGCGCGGATGAGACCATCGACCGTCGTGTCCGGTACACGACAGGGAAAATGGCCCCGGCTGACGACTGCGACCAAAAGCAGGACACGGATCGGCTATGCCGGCCACCGAGGTGTTGACAACTGCAGGCACCTACCAGCCGGGTCAAGACAAAGCCTTAGGAGGAAAACACCACTTGCAAAACCCGTTACATCGAGTGAAAAAGATCGTGAAATGCTTATCTGATCTTGATCGTAGTACAATGACAATGTCACATGCGTTTATCATCCAGGCGGCGCACTACGTTCGCAAACGTTCGTCCGACGGCGCAATGCTCAGCTTATACCGCCACCCAGAGCACGCTCACCTGGTTTTTTCTTGTTCATCTTGCGCTGTTTGCCGGCCAGCTGTTTTTCAGCCGGTGGTTCCGCCGGCGGCGGCGGCGGCGCCGTGTCCAGGATGGGCGGTGCATCAATGGGACGACCCTCCGAGTCGAAGCCGTAGTTGAGCCGGTGTAGAGCCAGGAACTCCTCGTCTATCTGAAACCACGACCCGTCTTTAGCGCAGGTGCACATGGACGGACGCCACCGGGTAACGGCATATAGACAAACACCTCCGGGTCAGAGCAGGGAGATGGACGGCCAGAATAGGATAGAACACCTGCCGGTCAGAGTGCCTGGCCTCGGGGCCAAACATGACGCACGCACAACACTGACGCTGAAAAACATTATCACTTTCTCAATCATTTCATTCTACAACGTTCGGGTAACGTATGTACGAAGACGCCATTACCGACGTATTGCCACCACCAGCAGCACAACGTGAGGCGTATCGGTACTTAGGACTTATAAGTATTACGACTAAAGGCAAAACCCAGAGTAACCTTCTGGTAAGCCATCCAGTACGTTTTCCGGCTCCTACGTCTTGATGGTTGCATTTTGAATGCACCACCATACAGAATCATAGCCTAGATGACACCAAATTTGTTTGTTCAATCGCACGTCACCCAACAGAACAACGGTCATACTCCAGCATCCAATGCAACATCATAACAATGCAGCAGAGTCATCACAGGAAACGACGGTCAACCGTGCTATAAAAACATGTGGCAAGCTATTGCATCACACATTATGACAACCTTGACAAGCTGTTCTCTCATTTCTTAAGTGAGTCGCTATGGTAGAAATCGTTAACAATCGAGCATCACCAACACCTACCTTCGGGAACCAGGCTCCCTTCTCTGCGTCCCACTCGTAGCCCGTGCCGTCGTTCGCCTCCTCCTCGTGAGGGGCGGCGCCGCCCTCCGCCGCCGGCCCCGGCGCCGTCGCCCGCTTCCGGGCCGCTCCGTCCTCCTCCTCATCACTGTCGTGCTCACTGTCGTCCGACGAGCCCCTGTTGAGCTTGCGCTTGCGGCCGGCCGGCGCGGCGGCGCGCTCCCAGCGTGAGGCCTCGGCCGACCAGTGGCAGAGGGCGCCACTGTCGTCCCGGCAGCACCAGGCGCCGCTCTCGTCACGGAAGCAGTCGGCCGCCGGCGCCGCGCCCGACTCCGCCGCCGGCCAGCGCTCCCAGCTGTTGGAGCTCGGCTCCAGCCGGTACACCTGGCCGGCCGCGTCCCGGAAGCAGTAGTGCTCGCCCTCGTAGTAGCAGTTCTCCAGGGTGGGCGCGTGCAGCGGCTGGCCGTTGCCGGCGCCGTCGCGCCGCAGCCAGCCCTCCTTCTCGGCACTGTACACGTACTCGAGCCCCGAAGACGGGTCCGTGTACACGCACGTCTCGCCCTCGTACCGGTAGCAGTCGTCGCCGGCGGGCGGCTGCTGGCCGGCGCCGGCGCCGTCGGCCCCGGCGCGCGCCGCCGACGCCGCCGGCGCGCCTCCTGACGGGGGGTCGGACTCGGCGGTCGCCGGCGACACACCGACGGCCGCGTCTCCAGCTGGGGTTGTCTGCCCTGCTGGGTGCTGGCCAAACGCAGAGCTCTCTGGCATCTTGCTATGCTCAGGTGTGGGCTCACTGGAAGTAGAATTCATGGACGAACTGCCAGGGTTCAGCATAGATGATTTTGACACAGAGAGTCCAGATGGCTCATCTGGGCTAGCTGTGATATCAATTGAATCAGGATTCTTTTTTGAACTGTTTATATCTGTTGTGTCCATTGCATGTGCTTCTTGTTGCTTTGTTAAGGCTGGAACAGCTTCCTCTGAAGACATGCTGTAGGGGCACTCTTCAATAGCAGACTAAAATAACCATAATCTGAAAATGGTTGTTTGCAAAGTCAGCCGTAACTGTCATGTACGTACATGAAAAACAAATAAGCAACATACATCCAACAAAAAAATTGTACCATCAAAGCGGGAATTCTTCACTGCTTCAAGAGACAAATGGTGCTTGTGACATGTATGAACAATGTCAGCAAGGCAAGAAAAGGCCAAGGTAATATTAAGCAATAACACCACATTTATCACATAAAACCAGCAGTGGTGGAGACAGTTACATACATTTGATCTACAATCACCTAAAACCATGCTGTAAGTCGTACTTGCCTGTCCTAACAAATCACAAAAGCTTTATCCTAAAGATCAAGTGATATTCCATGCTTTCAAGAATTAATCGCTTTGGTTGGTCTTAAGTTGAGTTCCATGGCCCAGAATCATTGATCCCATGCCTGATCCACAATTTTAGTTTAAGATAGCCTTTTCTAGCTTGTACTGGCATGTGGCAGTTGTGGATGCTCTTGAATGGCCATCCAAATATTGGCATGTTTATTTTGTATGGATGAGTCTGGCTCAGTCATAGACTCATAGGCACAGTTGTGAAATAAAGAGTTCAATCAAGCAGGCTCCAAATATTGCTATTGGAAAACAAGCTCTATAAGTCTTATGTGATGATAGGTGATGATCAATGGCAGGCTGTGCAAAATAAAGTTAGATTCTCCATGTGGGCATGTGCCCAGTCACTGGGAGGAAGGTATCTCATTTTGTTTGGGGCCAAAAAGTGTTGGTATACAACTGATGAGGATATCAGTCCCCAGGCTCAACACTAAGACATAGCCCATAAAATGACACCTAGTTATGGGTGATGAACACTTAATCCATTGTAGTGCCCTTAAAACCCAACTGAACAACATAAAATAATAAATCACTAATTAATTCAGTTTTACTGTTCCATACCACTAGCTTCAATAAGGACTTGATTGATATACCTCAGCTGATAAGTCATGCTTCCATTTTGGTCACCCCTTCACTGATGGTAATACAGGAAAGTACATCAAAAATTAGCACAAATGAAACTAAACATAAATTTAAGAGCCAAACCCAGATGATTGCACCCACATCCACCCAAGTGAAAATGCGTGTTAAGTTCATGGTGGCAAAAATATGGTAGATAAGTCCAACCCCATGGACGATTGTTTGAGTGGTCAAAGAATTGCAATCCTCACCACGTATGGATCTGTTTGGATTACCGCTGTTCTGTTTGCCGGCCCAAAACAGTGACTGCTTTCCACACAAGATCAAAGCGTGATCATTGCACTTACAATCGGAGCCAGAATTAAAAAGTTGTGATAAGAGTACTTACCACGCCCAGTAACTTCAAAAGATACCCGAAAATCGAAATGCGTGAAATTCAATGCAACAACACCAACGTCACATAGTCTACCAAAACGTTGTTTACAGTAGGTGGTGCGCAGCAACTGTGTGCATTCACCTGAATTTGGTAGCTCCACGGACACACTTTCCTACGTTTGGCTACTTCGGCATACCAAAAAACCGCATTTGGACACCGGTAGGTATGTCGTCTTCGTCACCCACAAAGGCAAAGGAGTCAAGGTGATCTATACCGACAGAGTCATTTGTCGCCTTGGACAGGGCAATCGCCTAAATACGAGCATTACTATTTATACCAATTACTGCAAAATGATGCCAAACGTGCCAGTATTACAAAATCGCTGAAGGATGCAGATTTTAACAAAGTCTTGCAGATTGTCACTGTAGTCTCACGAAACATGGGTTTGCTGCTGCAAATGAACTACCATCATACGACATTTCAGACGGCCAGGCGAGACCAAACCAAAGGAGACTGGGCCAAACTAGACGACACTGGATGAAACCATACAGAACCCGACGGAACTGGAGTTGGACAGAACTGGACGGGACCGGTCAGACTCAGATGGAACGTGATGAGACCAGACGGGACCAGCTGGGATTAGATCAGCACGTAGTGACGGACGGAACCGGATGGAACCAGCGGAACTCGAGAGAACTGGATAAAACTGGATGGGACTTTACCAAACTAGACGGGACCGGGTGGGACCAGACAATGCCGGATGGAGCCACGGGACCTGACCGAACAGGACGGGACAGGGTGAAAACAGACAGGACCAGACGGAGCAGGCGCAGTCTGACAGGGCATGAAGGACAGGACTAGACTAAGTTGCTCTGACGTGTATATTCCAAAGACCCCATGGTATTGCACAGTGTTTCTGAAATAAGATATGATACCATGCAGGTTTCGCCACTTCACTATCCTGCCGAAAAGGAAGGAAAGATCATAACGCCGGATCGTTTGGTACGCGGCCGTCGAATTAACCTTGTTTTGCATAGGCCTTTAAAAACCACGTCACGCAACTCCATCAGTTAACTAAGCATTTTGACGCACACACTGGTACTGCTATAACGCGTTGGCACAAAATGGCCATTGATGTTTTCCTGAACGGTTTATGCACTTTTGATGGAAAAGACCGGCACGCAGTCATCGGCACAAAGCTGTTGGTTGCGTGTCCATACAGTCTGTGAGATATGGAAGTTGCCAATTAGCCTGCATATGTTTCCAACACCGCCAAGGGTGCATATCTTGTAGTGCCCGTCTATCAGCCCGGTACGAAGGATTTAAGTTTAAACCACAACATGATGCGCCGACATTACGGCTCTCGCTCCACCCGTCTTCTCCACGCCCGCGTCACGTCAAGTCACGTCACGTCCGACGTTTGCGTCACGTCACGGCCACGGCCACCTGTAGTCGCCCGTTTAGCGTGGCGCGTCGTCCTGTCCCCGCCGCGTGCAGTGAGGCCCATCTGCAGCGAGCGCGCACCACCATGCCGGCATCGACCGGTGCCCCTGCCGCGGTGGGAGGCGTACCTCGCGAAGTCCGCCAGTGCGCCGGCCGGCCCGCGCGTCCCGCCGCTGTATGACCGTCGCGGCGGATCCTCGGCCGGCCCGCTGACGGCTGCGCTCGAGGCGGGGGAGGGGGAGGGGGATGACAGATTGGTCCCACCTGCGGGCCTTCAAAACAGGCCGCCGCTGTTGTCGGCGCTGCCATGGCGGCCGTGCCGTAGCGGGGCAACAGCTCGTAACCCAGGATCGGCCGGCCACTACGGCGTCATTGATTAGTGCGGCGCGAGTGTGGCCCGCGCGGCAGAGGCAGAGTGGCCAGCGGCGCACCGAATTTGATCGACGGGGTGGACATAAGGTCCCAGCGAGGGGGCGGTGCGAGTGAGTGTAGCTTATCCGGAGCATGGGGTAATCAAGGACTGAGCACGAGGGCTGGCCGGGCGGAGTGACCGGGACAGCCGAGAGACGGACGGCGGAGGGAGCGGAGCAGCCGAGTGGCGCCAAGCAAAGTGAGCGGGACAATCGGGAACGGGCCAGCGGGCGGCAAAGTGGACCGCACTGTCCGCAGCCTCGCGCCGGTAACGTGCCCATCTTCTGCAACGCCGCCGTGTCCAGCCTTGAGCCCAGTTCGCCGTCCTGGTCCGAGACCCTGCAGCACCTTAGCGCGCAACGCTCGGTGATGCCACAGCGCACCTGACCACGTACGCCCGGCTGCACACTGACCGCCATGGAGCCAGACCAGAGCGACGCCTCGCGCTCGCCGTCGCTCTCGGTGACGACGCTGCCGCACGGCGGTCGGCGGCCAAGCCTGATCAAGCCGCGCGCCTTCCTCGGCGATGAGAGCGTCGAGCGCTCGAGGCGTACCGACTCGGAGCACGCGGCCAACGGCGTACCCCTCTCCGAGTGGCTCAAGTACCGACGCCGCGAGAAGAGTATCGTCGATCGCGTGGAGGCGATCGGCCCCGACATCGATAAGAAGGACCCCGAGTTGGCTGACATCGCCAGCCAGCTGAGGCAGAAGCACGCCGCCGAGGCCGCCAGGAAGAAGCTCACGTATGGTAAGGTGCTCTGGGGCCGGCTCAAGATGAACAACAAGCTACGTGCGCATCTTCGTCAGTTCACGCTGAACAAGACCAAGGTGCAGCCGCTGACGGCAGAGAGTCTGCACAGCAAGGATGGCGCGTCGCCGAGCAACAGCGTGCTAATGCCGAGGAAGCCCAGCCTGGCGGAGACCATCAGGGAGGAGCCGGGGGCACCCGAGGAGTGGGGAGATAACCTCAATGTGCCGACGGAGAGCGAGGCGCCCGCAGACGTGCCAGACGAGGAGCCCCAGGTTCTCTTCAGAGAGAGGAATCTGGAGATCACACGTGTGCGAACGCCGTCGTTAAAGTCGTCAGCCACTGGTGATGCGAAAAGGGGGGAAGGGGAGCTTTCGGGTTCTGGTAAGCGGCAAGAAGACGGACCTGGAAGAAGGGCATCTGACGGTAAAACTGCTGCAGCGGAAGATAAGGAGGAGCCAAACAGTAAGACGGTTAAGCCCGACCAACATACTCTGAAAACAAACCAAAGAAAAAGCTCCGTCTCAGCAAAATGGAAGCCGAGCAACGAAGAGAAACATCAAATCGCGAAAGAAGGATCCAAGAAAACTACTGCTTCAAGCGGAGAGATTGGCGGACAAAAAGACTCGCATGGGGCACTTACGAAAAGGGCTGGCAATACTAAGCACTCACCGATGATAAACAAGTCTAGCTCACGTCCGACAGAAGTGTCAAGGCAGACGGTTGACAAAAGCCTAACCAAGGCGCGGAATCCGGCACCTAAGAAGAATAATTCATCGTCAAGACCTTCTTTAGAACCAGACAAGGCAGACAATACTCCAAATAACCACTCTCCAGCGCAAAGGCGCCGCGCAGACAAACACCCTTCCGTTTCACCCCGAAGGACACGGTCCACCAAAGGCGAAAATGACGTGGCATCCCCGGCACGCGATGACGACGACGACGTGGTGTTTTTACCAGCGACGAGCTCGCGTCGTCAGTATGAGCCACCTCGGAGACCCTCTCGCCCCGAAGTCGCCCCCGGCCAGGCCCGGCCGACCGGCGTGACCTCAGAACTGGGAGCCGACCTGGCCGAGGTCAGCGGCCGGCGAGCGAGTCTGACCGCTGCCGCCTCCGTCAAGGACAGTGGCACGCGGAAGAGCCCGGGGGCCTCACCACGGGCCAAGGACGGCGGTGCCCATAAGAACTTGAATGTGGTGGCAGCCAAGGTTGACAGCCGTCGGTCCAGCACGGGTCCATCTGCTCCGACCAAATTCAGCAGTCCCAGCCCGCAGCAGACAAAAGACAGCGCTCCCAGCTCGCAGACCAAGTCCAAAAGCTCTCGGAGGAGCCTGGTCACCGCCGTTGCCAAGGTGGACAGCCGGCGCATCAGCCCGGTCCCGACGCGTGGAGCCGAGGAGGACAGTGCCGGGCCGGACCCACCTGCCGCCGAGCTCCCGCCGAGCGGCAGCCGGCGGACGAGTCCGTCAGAGCCGGCCGAGCCGCGCGCCGCGCTGCCCAGGAGGAAGGCGCGCCCGGCCGTGTTCCGTACAGCGCCGCGCGCCGGCCAGCGACGCCGCCTGGCGGCCGTGCGCCAGCGGCGCCGCCAGGTGCGCCGCGAGGTGGCGCAGCTGCGCTCGACGGTGGCCAGCCTGCGCCTGCCGGCCGACGGCGGTCCGGCGGCGCCTCTCGAGCCGCATTGGTCCCCCGCCCGCGTGCCCTTCGGCCCCTCGCCCTGGATGCGCAAGAAGGTGTGGGGCTTCGACTGGGTGCCGACAGAGCACAAGATGGGCGCGCTGCCGTCGTTCTACCGGCAGGCGCCGCGGCTGCGGACCGACAGCCTGTATCGCTGTCTGGTGCGCTCGGCGCGCTCCGAAAGGGCCGGTCGCCGCCGCCGCAAGAAGAGCGGCCCGCCGCCGCCCTCACCACCGGCAGTCGATGCTCAGGGCGCGACCTAGGCGGCGCTGCCGCCGCCGGGGCCAGAGAACGCCGGCCGGGGTAACAGGAAACTGCTGGGACACAGGACATCGCCGGGGACACAGGACACCGCCAGGGTCATAGGACACCGCCAGGGACATAGGACACCGCCAGGGTAGCAGAGTGCCGCCGGGCTGGCATGAGTGCTTAGTGTAGACTCAAGCTGTCTTGGGCTGTGTGCGGTGGTTACGGTTAGTGTCGATCACAGGCCGTTATCATAAAATGCAACACCGTCGTTGACAACGTTGGTTTCGGAACAGTGTTTTCTACGGGACATTTGTTTTGTTTGATGTATATGATATCGAGTGATTTAAAACTGAATGGAAAATCGATGTCGGCGACGGCATTTCATTTGCATAACAATGCCCTCAGGCTGAAAAGTCGCATCCAGTTGAGAGCATCCAGGCTGGCTCGCTCCTCTGGGATGCGGTTGGCGACCTTCGCACAAGCAGGACTGCTTGCAGACTGTCCGCCGACTGAGGTGTAGGCACCGTCCGCCGCATTTCAGGACTGAACCGAGTTCAAAGTACCAGTACGGCACTAATG